GTCATATAGTTGAAGCCAGATTTAAAGATAGGTAGTTAGTGTAGTTAGGTAAATCAGGTCTAATATTGAGTAAAATCGAAAATGAAGGCCATGTTGAGAATAGAGCCAGGGAAAGGAGAGCAGCAATTTTCCTGGGGAAATTGAAATGTTAATGTTCCCAAGGCCCAGAGCCCATTCTAAAGAAATGTTAATGAAGCAGCTCCCAGCAAATTGGGAGGTGCTAATCAAAAGTAGCCCCAGCCCCTTCCTGACCAGATTACTCCTCTGGCCCATCTGCCCCTCACCTTTAAGGTCTTCCCACCTACATTCCATCACTGCAAGATAACATAACACGGACAGAAATGCAGGGAAAGCTGAAAGAAGACCTTAGCTATAAAAGAGGGAAGATCTTGCCCTTCTGTACATTCCACCTCTTGGGTCCTCTTCTTCCTCCAGGGAGAAGTCTTTTCTGCTGTCCTTAATAAAGCTTCTACTTTCCACTCTAAATGTGCCTCAGTGTGCTTCTCTGGTGTTATACCTCAGCATTGGGGAAGCAAGGACTCATCACCGGTAAACAACAGTAAATAGTCATATATATACATACGGTAATGATGTCTGATTCATTCAACTATCCTTACTATCCCTTTCCCCCCTCCACTCCATTCACTCCCCTCTAAATAATCTAAAGTAACTTTATTCTTTCCTATCCCCTCCCCCTTATTGTGAATTAGCTCCCACATACCAGAAAAAAATATTCAGCCTTTGGTGTTTTGGAATTGTCTTATTTTGCTTAGCACAGTATTCTTCAGCTCAATCAATTTACCTACAAATGCCATAATTTCATTTTTCTTTAAGGATGAATAATTTTATATATATCCAAATATATATATATCACAATTTCTTTACCCATTCATCTGTTGAAGGACACCTTGCTTCCATAGTTTAACTATTGTGAGTTGAGCTGCTATAAACATTGATGTGGCTGTGTCACTATAATATGCTAATTTTAAGTCCTTTGGATATAAACCAAACAATGGAATAGCTGGGTCAAATGGTGGTTCCATTCCAAGTTTTCTGAGGGATATGCATACACTTTCCATAATGATTGCACCAATTGACATTCCCACCAGCAATGTCTAAAGCTTCTTCTCAGCAAAGGAAACAATCAATAACATGAGGAGAGAGCCAACAGAATGTGAGAAAATGTTTACTACATGCCCCTCAGATGAGCATGAGTTTCCAGGATATGTAAAGAACTCAAATAAACT